TTCAGCTGTTAGGGACTGAAATTGTAAGAACATTTTCGTCTTTTCAGGTATAAAGGGATTGAATTCATATCATTTAATAAACCATATGGACCATTTTTATAATTTGTATTATAATAATATAAATAATAGAAAAAGAAGACAAGAGGATTCAAACTACGGACCTCCTCTTGCTCTTCCTAATCAGCCAAAACTCTAGCCAACTAGGCTAGACATAAACTTGTTTTATATTTCCAAAACCTAATTAATATTATATAAAATCATAAATATATTAATAACAAAAAAATTACAAAAAACCATATTTTTACAAAAAAAAAAAAAAAAAAAACTTTTTTAATAAAATAAACTATATTTTTAGTGTATTGTAAAAAATATTTTTTACAAACAATTATTTTTTTACGTATTTGTTTTATGTAAAATATTTTTTTTATGTATTTCAAAAACATACGTTTTCGTATAATATGTTATTACATTGCTATTATCCTAAAACATATTTTTACATTTTCATTTAAAAATAAGTTATTTTTTTATTTCACATAGAAAAGAAAGGATTTTTTTATGTATTTATATCATGTAAAATAAATTTTTTTTTATATTTAAAAAACACGTTTTCGTATAAAATGTTATTACATTGCTATGATCTTAAAACATATTTTTACGTTTTTGTATAAAAATAAGTTTTTTTCTTTCACATAGGAATTTTTTTTTATTTTTTTACATATTTATTTGATGTAAAATATGTTTTTTATATTTTTGAAAAATACATTTTCGTAAAAAAATATTATTACATTGTTATCATCCAAAAATATACTTTTGAATACATAAAAATTCATAATAACATATTATACAAAAACGTAATCCTAAAAAAACGACAAAAAAGGTTTTTGTATATGCAAGTATTTAGTTGATTTAAAGCGAATATGCAAGTTTTTATTTTTATTTATTTATTTATTTATTTACGTTTTCGTATAATATGTTAACATTTTTTCGTAAAAAAATACTTGCATATTCATTTTATATAAGCTAAAGATGTTAAGTTAACGTAAAAGTATAATAATATAATAATGTATTATACGAAAATGTATTTTTTAAATACATAAAAAACATACTTCATATAAAATAAATATATACAAAAAAAACTTTTTTTATGTTTTTTTTATTACGTTTTTGTATAATATGTTATTACGTTTTTTATGTATTAAAAAGTATATTTTCAGATTATAACAATGTAATAATATTTTTTAAGAAAACGTATTTTTTAAATATATAAAAAAACATATTTTACATAAAATGAATATGTAAAAAAAATTTCCTATGTGAAAGAAAAAAAACTTATTTTAATATGAAAATGTAAAAATATGTTTTAAGATCATAGCAATGTAATAAAATGTTATATGAAAACGTATTTTTTAAATATATAAAAAAACGTATTTTACTTGAAATAAATACGTAAAAAAAGCTTTTTGTTCTATGTGAAAGAAAAAAAGAACTTATTTTTATATTAATATTTAAAAATGTGTTTTTGGATAATAGCAATGTAATAACATATTATACGAAAACGTATTTTTTTTAAATACATAAAAAAGTATATTTTACGTAAAACAATTACGTAAAAAAACAAATAAATTGTTTGTAAAAAATATTTTTTTACAATATGCTAAAAATTTATTTTATTTTATTAATTTTTTTTTGTAAAAATATGTTTTTTTAATTATTATTAATGAATTTACGATATTAGATAATACTAATTAGTTTTTTGGAAATTTAAAACAAGTTTGTATCTACCCTAGAGCTTTGGCGCATTAGGGAGAGGGAAAGGAGGTCCCAAATTTGAATCATCCTCTCATCTTTTTCTAGTATTTATATATTATTTTAAAACAAATTAAAAAAATGGTCCATGTAGTTACCAAATGATACGAATTTTATCCCTTAATAGTTGAAAAGACGAAAATTTCATTACAAATCCAGACCCTAACGACTGAATACTAACAAATCGAGTTAGTAAAAACGAACATCCGTGAAAATTTTGCATACCACAAGAACCTTTTGCTTCAAAAATTTAGTAGGGACTGACTTTGTTACTTTAGGCAAACCATAGGAACTGTTTTTGTAATTTTGTCTTACTTTTATTTCATAGGAGTTGATTTTCCTTTAACCACCAAGGCCATACCTTTGATAGTTAGGTATCTAAACTTTCCACACACGTGGTTATGCTTTGCAATTTAATACCAATAAGGAAGACTAAGTTTCAAAACAATAAAAACACTTAGTATAGTTCCATGTACCAATTAAGGGATAGTTAGTCCTAAAGCAAAGATAACATCAACTAAAAGCATGCATCATCAAATAATTGCAATTTTTACATGTATCCCTTTGTAAAATATTCATTATATACTCACCTTGATAGTTTGGTCAACCAACTGTGACTATCCTATTGTCCTTGTGTTTGCTTGTGAATCCTATATAATTTATTTCCATTAATATTAGAAACTCAACATTATTAAGTTTATAACAAATTTATATCCCATTACTTTTCTATTTGACATGATGTCCTTTTATGAAATTTCATAAAAAAATTTCAAAATGACACTTTCGTCATTTGTTTTTCGATCATGATATTCCTATATATTCCTATGAGTCATAAAAACTCATTAAGTTTATGAAACTATTCCGTAGTCAAATATGATTAATTCCATATTATACCATTTTGATATTTCTAATACAATATAGCTAGTCGACCTTGGATCCTTCAACCTACTTAAGGTGGTAAGAAGACTCACCTCACAGACAAACGAAAAACTGAAATGACATGCTGCTCTGAAACCCGTGCTACTGGTCAGCTTTACGAATAAATAGTAACCAAAACTCACACTACCATTCAAATACCTAGAATACCCCAATGGTAGATTCTTTTTGATTTGTATTTCTTCAAATCTATAGGTCCATGTTTTTCTTATCTTTGCTTGAATGGTAGTTTCTTTTCGATTTGTCTTATCTAATATGTCCTCTTTCCATTGAAAAATTCTTTTTGTCTTTACACCCACGTTTGAGTAGTTTTCTAATGCCCAAACGTTCTTATTTTAATATTTTATGTAAAAATCTATCTTACGCTTATTTCCTTTGTTTTCACTTACATCCGTAAAGCTCATAACTAATGTCTAATTAACATATAATAACTTATAATATGACTAGAATCATCAATGTTTTATATTTTCACGATTTTGCGACAAGTTAATATACATAATTGGGATAATGACATAAAACACTTAAGTTTGGTAGAAATGTGCGGATTTACCCTTTTGTAGATTTTAGGTTCACTAATACCGAATATTTGCCAAAGTTTTTTTCAATTGCACCCTTTTTGTACCTTTATCTTGTAAAACGAAAATTTCTGCCAAACTTACAGGCTTTAATGAAATAGAAAACCAAACTTAAGGGATTTTATGAGCCAGAAAAAAAGATAAAACTGAATATTTCTGTCAAACGTAAGGTCTTTAATGAACCAGAAATACACAAAAGGGTAAAACTGATTTTTTTTTTGCAAGTATTTGGTATTAGTGAGCCAAAATTCCACTACACATTTCTACCAAAGTTAAGGGTTTTATGTAATTATCCCTACATATTTCTCCAACTCTTATTTTGTTTCATGTTTTTCACTTTTAAGTTTCATTACAAAAATTTTGAATGTCACTTTTAAGTATCATTTTTGTCCTGAGATTGCCCACCCTCGTCCCCATCCCGAAATTAAAATGGGTGTTAACCTTGCCCCCGCCCCTGACTTTTTTTAATAAATACCCCCAAACGGGACGGGGCCCCCATGGGAACGGGGTCCCACGAGACTTTTTGACATCCCTACTTGTGGGCCATACAATAATTAAAATAGAAATTAGGTACATAATAAAAAATAATTATTAAAAAGCAGTTTAGTCATATCAAGTTTGTTATGAATCAAATTTATAAAAAACCCCAAAAAGGACTGAAGATAAGAATTTTGTATTTGGTATCTTAGGCTTATAGTTTTTCAAATATATTAGAACTTAGTTATCACAGTACAAGCAGTGAAAAGGAAAACGGGAAACAAGTTGCGCCGTTAAGCCTTTTTTGTATGGTAAAACCAATTCTTTTGAAAACTACATTCATAGATTTAGGGGATGTAATATTGCTATGCATGATCCGTTGTACTCGATTAAGAAACACTATCGCATCCCACGTGAGGAAACCAAATGTATCAAACGCAAATGGTATGAGCACATGTTGCTTTTTCATGCATGCCTTCTCATGTTTTGTGACCTTGCATGTAGCAGCTTTTAAAGCACCATGCCCCACCTTGAAACCCCCAGCCCTCAAGCCCACAAGAGGGGATACCCCTGTAAGGTCCATACAAACATGTTTCCCTCCAATCCATCCAAAAATCAAAACGTCAGCCAATCTAAGGGTTAACCTTCCTTCTGTCGGGTCAGTGAAAAATTCATAGGTGCCTCTTTCTTGGTAGAAACCCCGGCATGCTTAAATATGTCAAACAAAATATCCCTAACCATATTGTGCCTGTATTTGAACCATGGGAGTTCATTACAATGAATTGCATGCTCTCCAAAAGAGTCCAAACATGGTTTGCGACACACCGGGCATATCTCATCATTTGGAAAAATAGGGATCATGAGCCGATATTTAAGGATAATACGATGCACCACATGAGACATATGTTGGCCAAACCCATCTATATGGATAGCTAGAAGAAAATCTTGAGCATGTGGTATACATAAACACCGGAAAAAAAATATTTATATTGTCCTTATTCGAATGAAAAGAGTATTTAATGTTGCGTGCTTTATTGTGTACTATTTTAAATCTCCACTTGTTTTCGGAAGAAGAAAAATGGCCAAAAATAAAGTTGTCTTAAGGTCAACCATAAAATAAATATCTCCATTAAATAATTAGATAAAGCATATTATCTTTTAGCATAAAAATCCACTTGGTTTTGATTATTATTCCTTGCGCCTTCAATCGTTGTTGGTTACCAAAATGCAGCCGTTCCAAGTTTTAAATTTACTCATCTTGATTTTGCTAACAACATTAGTAGAAGCTCATCTCGAGGCTTATTACGGCAAGCCACAATGTCCTGTCATCTGTGGGGATGTCCGGATTACATACCCTTTCGGGTTTGGAAGAAATTGTTCTGCCAACGAATGGTACACACTTGATTGTAATTCCTCCCCACCATATCTATCTTCATTCAACAACAAACCGTATCTATCTGCATTCAACAACGCCGAGGTGCTGTATATGGATGTGAGCACAATCACTGTTAATATGTCTATGATTAGTGCTGATTGCAAAAATCCAGTCCAAGATATCAATCATGTCCTAATCACCAGCCATGGCAAAAGTCCCTTCCGATTTTCCGGATCGCGTAACAGATTCGTTGTTAAGGGCTGTGGCAGTGCTTCCATCATGGAGAATGGGAGTATTGTCACCGGTTGTTCAACGACTTGTGGCAAGGACACTGTTAGTGACTTAAACGACTGCTTTGGTGTCGGTTGTTGTCAAACTACAATTCCTCATGGTCTCTCATCATTTACCTTCAATCTAACAGGCTTAGAAAGTCAGGCTCGAGATGGAGCTTGTGGGTCTGCTATCTTGGTAGATACAAATTACGCAGGAAGTTTTTCTAGCAAATCTTTTGCTGAAGACCACTTTGTTCCGATATCACTTTCGTGGAACGAAACATTCCATGAAAATTCAACAAGATGCAACGAGATGTGTGGGAATGTATCTATTCCCTCCCCATTCGGCATTGAAAGAGATTGTTCAGATGGTAACTGGTTCAATGTCGATTGCAATTCCTTGACACCATACTTATCTGCGTTCGACAACATGGAGGTCTTGAGTGTAAGTTTGGAAAAAAATACAATCACTGTTAATGTCCCTATGATTTCTGATTGCAAGAATTCAATCCAAACTAACAGCCTTTTCCTAACGGGAAGTCCGTTCGGATTTTCTGGATCGGATAACATGTTTGTGGTTGAGGGGTGTGGTAGTGCTGCTATTATGGTGGAAAATGGTACTATTGTCGGTGGTTGTTCAACAACTTGTAGCAATGACACAAACAGTGAAAGCTACAAAAACGGCTGCTTTGGAAAGGGTTGTTGCCAAACTACTATTCCATATGATCTCGAGTCATTTACTTTGAATCTAACAGGATTGGAAAGACATGATGGAAATGGAAGCTGTGGGTCTGCGTTCTTGGTGGATAAGATTTCATTCAATCAAGGAAGATTTTCTCGACAAGTGGTTCCGATAACACTGAGTTGGACGTATAACACCAGCACCAGTTATTTTAGACCAGAAGTTTCAACAGAATGCATAAGCTGTGAACAAGATGGTGGGATTTGTTTCCCTGACCGTTACACGACGTCAGGCATGAGTTGTCACTTTCGTGGAAGCAGCAATAAGTCACTCGGCGTTATTCTAGGTAAAGATGTTCTTATCAATAACATTTTCTTCTACTTTTTCTCTTTACTTTCTATAATTAGGAAATTTATTATAGTTTTTTTACTTTAAAAAGGTGATTTTTTTTTCTTAATTAATGATATTCTATCAAATTTTGTAGTATTTTTGTTAACTAGAAAAAGAAAAAGATTTCCCCTTTCTTCTGAGTCAGAATATCAACTCGTTTAACATTAGAGGTTGGTGTAGGAGAGACAGGTAAGTGGAAACAAATAGTGGTAGCTAATAAGATCATTTACTCCAAGTAAGAAACCAATACGAATAGGATCCAAATGTCAAACTAAAATACAAAGGTCATTTTCAACTTTTTTGTAGTCGATCTGCTTATTATTATTTTTATATTTTTTTGGATATTGAAAGAGACCGGTAAGTGGAAACACATAGTGGTAGCCATGATATCATTTAATCCAAGTAAGAAAGCCAAAATGAAATCCAAATATCAAGTTAAATTACAAAGGCCTTTTCAAGTAAGAAAGCTATGAGATCAGTTACGCCAAGTAAGAAAGCCAATATATATGAAAAGAATCCAAATGTCAAATTAAACAATCTACTTATAATACAAACTTAGTAACGAATAATGAAATGGAATTATGAAATTGTGATGATGAAGTTCGTCTATTACCTCATGTCCCAAGGTCGGTTTATGTCCAGACTGGTTTTTGTTATAATCGGTTTGATTTTAGAAAACTGTTTCCAAAAATCTGTTTATGTCTACACTTGCTTCTGCTATAATTGGTTTGATTTTTCGTTTTTTTTAATGAAATTGCATTAAACAAACCGGTTTTTTGGTTAAAAAAAACTTGTTTGATTCGGTTATAGTAGAAAAACCAGTGAAAGACAAACAAAAAAACAGTTTTAGATATTTGTTACAACCTGTAACTAAGTGGCAGTTCGGTTTTAATCTAATCGGTTTTAAAAACTGGTCCGGTTTTTTCCTTCGCTTAAAAAAAACGGTTTGAAATGTGCATCTCTGCCCAAGGTTGTTTTCACAACTTTGAGTATGTTTTCAAAGGTTGTCTAATGCTATTTTCATGATGGTATGTTTATTTTAATAGTGTACAAAGATAGTTTTGCATGTAATTTGTTACTCCCTCCGTCCCAATATTATTGTCCACAGACAAAAAACACACAGATTAAGAAAAACATTAACTACCACTAACTTTATATAATTAAATGACAGTTTTGTCCTTACTTTGCATTTAATGTTCCATTAAATGCTTAATTGGTTAACTAATAATGAGGGGATATTTTGGTAAAAATGTTATTTATTTTTAGAAGTGGACTATTATTTTGGGACAAACCAAAAACAAAAGATGAACTATAATTTTGGGACGGAGGGAGTATTTTTTATTTACCCTTAAGTTTAATTTGTCTCAAGTGTTTATCTATGTTTTTCAATGAATACTAAATTTATTCAGCATTGTATGTACGGAGGATCTCAGACATTACCTGTTCTTTTACCATTAACGACCTGCATAAACCTAATGTTTGAAATGCTTAATGTATACAGTATCAAAGAGATTTGATTTCATGTTGGAGGTTACAAATGTAAAAACTAACTAATGTCTGAGATTTTCCACACATACAGTGCCAAATAAATTTAATACTCTTTGTAAAACATTGATAAATACTTGAGACACCATGGACTTAAAGGTAAACAATAACAACTTACTTGTAAAATTATCCCAATACACTGGTAAAATAAACATGCCATCAAAACTAATGAAAATAGCATTGGCACAACATTTGAAAATAGACTCAATCTTATGAATGTATTCTTGGGATAATATATAAATAGATGAGAAAGTAATCGTTTTAGGGGACCAAATACGGTGTACAACAAGAAGAAGAGACATAAACCGAAAAAATACAAAATATATGGTCTTTTATAGGAAAAAAAATCTCATTTTACATGTTGATAACCTGTTTACGGCTGTTACGGCTGAAATAACAAGTAACAAATAAAAATTTGTTCATTTTGAAGAAATTACTTTTAGATAAGAAAAAATTGAAATATATGTCTTTTATGAAAAAACATTTATTTATTTATAAAAATCAAAATAACCCATAACCACGCTTGTCCGGAATGTAAAGATCACTGGAAAAGTAAATGGTCTTATTTCAAATCTAACCATTAAATTGTTTTCTTCAAATTTAAATTTGACTTGATAGTTATACTAAATAAAATTTAGTATCAACTATCAAGTTAAATTTAATTTTTAAATTTGAAATAAAGGTTTGTCAAGTTAAATTTAGATTTTAAGAAACAATGTAATTTTTAAATTTGAAATAAAACATTTATTTAGTATAACTATCAAGTCAAATTTAAATTTGAAGAAACAATTTAATTTTTAAATTTGAAATAAAACCGTTTAATTTTCCATGATTTATACATTAGGGACAACTGACAATAGATTAATTTCAAAAACAATAACAAGGGTGTTAATAGTTACGTTAATTTGACCTTAAAATAAAGTTACTAACTAAAACTTCTTATATTTATTAGTAGAAAGTGTAGTCTATATCGACGGTTGAAGATACTTTGTATAAAAACTCCATTTTTATTTATGTAAAGTTCAGTGTTTTAAGGGCCTATATTAAATTGTTAGTATTATATGTGCCTCATTTTCAGGTGCTAGCCTAACCATGGGTTTACTTATTCTAATGGTGATTAGTTATGCACTATACAACATAATCAAGAAAATTAGCGCCAAAAGAAGGAAACAAAGGTATTTTAAACGAAATGGTGGTCTACTTCTTAAACAACAACAAACAATTGACAACAGTTTAGTTGATAAAACCATAATTTTCACCTCGAATGAACTAGAGAAGGCCACTGACCATTTTAATGATAATAGAATTCTTGGTCGAGGAGGTCAAGGTACAGTATATAAAGGCATGTTAGCGAACGGACGGATTGTAGCTATTAAGAAATCGAAGGTTGTCGATGAAAGCCAATTAGAACAATTCATCAATGAGGTGGTCATTCTTTCCCAAGTCAATCATAGGAATGTCGTCAAATTACTAGGATGTTGCCTCGAAACTGAGGTCCCATTGCTTGTCTCCGAGTTTATCTCAAACGGTACCTTGTATGACTTTCTTCAAGATGAAACCGGTGAATTTCCAATCTCTTTAAACATGAGATTGCAAATCGCTACAGAGGTTGCAGGAGCACTTTCTTACTTACATTCGGCTACCTCTATTCCAATATACCATAGAGATATTAAGACAACTAATATACTTTTGGATGAAAAGTATAGAGCCAAAGTTTCTGACTTTGGAACTTCAAGGTTCGTGTCAATAGATCAAACTCACTTAACAACGTTAGTGAAAGGTACATTTGGTTACTTGGATCCAGAGTACTTCCAATCAAGCCAGTTTACTGAAAAAAGTGATGTCTATAGTTTTGGAGTTGTCTTGCTTGAACTCATGACAAGAGAAAAGCCAATTTCATTAACTAGATTTGGTGAAAATAGAAGTTTGGCTACATACTTTATGGTATCCATGGAAGAAGGACGTGTCATGTCTATTTTTGATGCAATAGTTGTTAAGGAGGGTTCTACGAATGAGTTGTTGGCCATAGCTAATTTGGCAATGCGATGCTTGAATTTAAATGGGAAAACCAGACCAACAATGAAAGAAGTTGCGACCGAGTTAGAAGGTGTGAGATTGTCACATGTTCCCACCACAATTTAAAATAATATTAGACTTGTGAAGTATTGAGAAAGCACCGCAGTCAACATCAACTTATGTTGACTCAACTTTTCACATCATTGACAACCTTAGTCAATGAATCATGATAAATATTAGTTTTCTTAAGTAAGCCTTAAACTATATAGTGTGATGATTAATAAGTTGTATGTAAACGCTAAAAGGTATAGTATTTTCTATACCTATTTCTTTTTCCTCCTAAACATATTCTTAAGCTTATTTTAATCGAAATTGGGTTAATGTCATGATATGACAACCAATTGTATTATTGCTCTTTGGATCATTTATATTTTAATTGTATTCAATAGACCAATAAACAATTTTGTTGGGTTCTTAATACACCATTGAAGTGAATTACGACTGTTTAAATGATTGTTGAATCTTCTGGTTTAACATCCACTACGACATCCAATACGACATAATTTTCTCATTTATTTCTACTCGATGACATGTCGTCCAGTATGGCATTAAAATTATACAGTTGAAATCTACTTAATAATGTAAGGAGTACTCAAAAAAGAAATTATTAAACTTTTTAATACAATTAAAAGATAAATGATAAAAGAACAAATTGACTACATTTGATAGGTTAGTATCGTGTTTTGTGTTGTTAATGGATTCTTAATAAATTTCATAAGCTTATTTGGGAAGCATTGTTTATTTGTTTTATTTGGTAAACTTGTATAAATTTTCCAAGGAAACATGTTGTGGATGAGCCATAAATTGATGGAGTGCACATATAAACTTTATTTTCATTTGATCAAGGAACATAGTACATATGTTTTCACTTAAAATATTGGTGTGTATATATATATATATATATATATATATATATATATATATATATATATATATATATATATATATATATATATATATATATACATCCAATATCTATTGTATGGATGTAGGAACCAACTAATTTTAGAAAAAAATAGACATTAATTAATGGAATAAGGGTAATTTGGTAAGTGAATTCTCAATTAATTGAATTTAAAATTAAAGTCGATAATCTTGGTAACTGTATTTTAGAATGTTGGTAACTTTATTTTAGATTGAGCTTATATTTATGTTAATATCTTTCTTTAAACTTACGAATTCATTAGTTGTGCAACGAACAAGGCCTCCACCGCTTCCTCCTATCTTTGCTGTAGTCTTCATCGTCTCATTTGTCATCCGATACACCAAGAAAGATCTACCAATATTTATCATATTTATCAGAACATTTGAAGAACTGATGTGATTAGGGTTCATAAAACTCAGATATAGTAACTTAGAGCTTCTAATTTCTCCACTCCTAATCTTCACCCCTTATCTTCTTTGGCAATTTGTGCTTAATTGAAGGTTAAGTCATTATTTCTTGACGACATGCTAATATACTTCACATGGGGTTTAGTTTTACCGCCCCCTATCTTCTTTGGCCATTTGTGCTTAATTGAAGGTTAAGTCATTATTTCTTGACGACATGCTAATATACTTCACATGGGGTTTAGTTTTACCACCCCCTAAATGTGTTTATAACCCAGGCCGGTCCAAACGGTGGGTGACCCAGGCGACCATCTAGGGCCGACATCTCTGGAGGACCCATAAATTCTAGGTATGTAGTATATATATATATATATATATATATATATATATATATATATATATATATATAAATATATATATATATATATATATATATATATATATATATATATATATATATATATATACATACATGTTTGTTAGGGTCCTATATTGGTCCAACCTCAATTTAGGCCCAAAAAACAAATTGGACGGTTTCTATTTGAATGTGTATGCAGCTAGGGGAATGGGAAGGACCGAAAGAAGGAGACAAGAATTAGTCAATTAGGGCACCTTATGAATCATTAATTGACTCGAAATCCTTGATAACTGAATCGACATCTCCACCTCGACCTCGTGAATTGACATACCTCTGATAACAGATTCAAGAATTAATCAAATGAATCATACGCAGCTTTCCAACTCGCTCTGCTCTCTCTTACGGTCACGATCGACATCCCCGCTTCTAACCCCTATTCCTCTCAAAATCTCACATTTTCATTATGATTCGCACTCTCGATTATCTATGTTGATTTCGAATCCTTGTGACTTGCGTGATATCATATAAGAACTTAACAAGGTATGATTTTTCTTTCAGAATTTTTGTTTCTGAAAGCTTATAGGTTTGTGTATAAGATTTTTTTTCTGATTTTTTCTTCTCAGTCTATGTTATATTAATTTTTTGTTTCTCAGATTTGTGAAGTCGATTTATTCAGATGCATCTCTACAACTGTAGAGAGTAGTCGATTTATCATTTTTATTACTATTGTTATCTAGTGGTTTTATTTTACAAGTTGCATTTGTAGATGCATCTCTACAACTATAGAGAGAAGTTTAAAGAAGTAAGAAGGTTTCAAAAGCTAAAGATTACCTAAGGTTAATAGGCATCTATAGACAGAAGTTTACTTTGAAGTTGCACAAAGCTAGCTAAAGTTATTGAAGAATTACTTAAGGTGAATGTTATATAAAGTTGTATAGAGAAAGGTATTGGCAATATTATGTATAAAGAAATAAATTTTAGATTAAATTGATCTTGTTAGTTTTGTATCTAATAAAGAAAGAAATTTATTGTCTTTTGTATTGGTGTTTTTTTGTAAATATTATGATTATATTTATGGTTTGGATTATATTATTGATTATTATTATAAATGATATTTTTTTTCAAAATTTTATTATATTTGGAATTGGGGGCCCTTATTTTCTTCTCGCCTCAGGCCCAATATGTATTTGGACCGACCCTGTTATTCCATAAACCTTGTCCACTCGCTCTTCATGACTTCAAGCACTTAATCACTTCTGCTTAATTTCAAGTTACTATTGTTTCAGGATTTTTGCACCGCAATAAAAATCAATCACATAGCAAAATCACAATTTATTTTCCAAATCGAAACAGTAATGTTACTTGGACAAGACATCGATCGGCTGCCTCTTAGCAATGTGGAGTGCAGACGGAGTAGATCGTTGGAGGAGTCAATAGAGCGAAGAAAATAAAGAGTGTAGGCTTAAATTGGGGTAAACATTGCATGATTAAATTATAGTTTGACTTAATTGTAAAAAATCTATTGTACCTTTTGTAATACCATCATTTTCATGAAAAAAAATTCTTTAATTTTAAAACATCTTTTAACGGAAATTTGAAACATAATTCTTTAAAGTAAACATTTTCAAATCAATCATCAACATTACGTTTAAAACCAAAACAACCCAAATAAAAAAAAACGTTTTAAGTATGTTTAATCAAACCACAATGATGACCAGCAAGACGTGTCCAAGTGGTATCAACATAATAGAATCAAACCTACCCAAAAGTTCCCCGCCTCACAAAGTCACACTCCTAATAACATGGAAAAAACACAACAAGATGAAGTGTCAACAACAACTTAGTGAGCCAATTACAAGTACAACAAGGAAAGAAACACACAGATCTCATACAAATCAGTCAATCACAAAATCAACACATAACATGTTTCCACACAATACATCACATTTCTTCACAAACATCACATATATTATTCCTAGTATACTTTGCATACATTAATATACGCCTTGCATTTCTTTTGTTATTAGCAATAATTAGTATTTATTATTTTTCACCACAATTATTATTTTATTTATTCATCACATTATTGTTCTCTAATATACATATGGCTTTGTTAGGAAGGTATTACTTTCTAACCAGGGGATTTATTGTTAAAGGGTTCCCAGGAGTAGGGTTTTGAGAAAAGTTTCCTATGGAGAAACATCGTTAAATATTCCTTCGAGAATATTCAATATGTGTGTGAATATATGATTCCTACCAGAGTATTTATAGTTAAAGGTTCCTGTGGGAACAATATTATGTTGGTCGACCAGGAATACATAATATATGACTCCTTCGGAAATACTGAATACGTTATTCCTTCAGGAATACCGAATATGTGATTCCTTCGGGAATAATGAATATGTGGTTCCTATAGGAATATTGATATGTGATTCCTTCGAGAATACTGAATATATGATTCCTTTGGTAATATTGATATGTGATTCCTTTGGAAACTTTGTTATAGGCTTCCTTCGGGAAACACAGTTAATGGTTTTTCTATGGGAAACATCGGAAAAGACTCTCTAAGGGGACATTAGGCCAACTACTGGGATGAAATCCCTGAGCTTGCAGATTTTGTGCAAAGTCTATATTTGGTAACACCAATAAACTCCGATAAATTGTGAAGGATTTTGTAAAACCAGATGTTTATTATGAATACGGTTCATGATATTTGTACAACCAAAGTCATGTTTTTTCTTGATAAAATTGTTACACTTACTACTACAAAAACCTCGACGTCGAAAACGGACAGTCACTCATATGATACTTTAAGTAGTTGACGTGAACTGAAATATTTTAGCGGAAAGTTCAGCCACTTATTAATTGGGAGGCGTGACTATAGATGATTGAGTTCAACGCATTAGTTACTCTATACATAAAAAAAAGTGACAAATATACTAGAGTATAAAAATGTGTCCAAATGTCATAAATCTTCATATGATGTAAATATTTATGTCGCTAACAAATAAATTGGAGTTTGTCTAACATGATTTCAGTGTAGCAAAAACTCGGTGCATATGGTCTTATAACTATAAGTGTTACTAAAGTTGAGCGTGCGTTATAGTTTGCTTACCGTTTATGTGTATAGTCACTTGTTATTTCAAAGTGGTTGTATGATTTCGAATAGCATGACCATATCCTAAATGTGTATCGGATGATTTTTATTAGTCACATGGCGAAATATTCACGTAACTATTATTTAGAGCAACAATGATGAAAAAATGTTAATCATTAACCTTGATATTGCTCACATTGAGTGTTCTTGTTTGTAAATCAAGTGACAATATATTTGTAATCTTTAGTATTTGTTTAGTCACATGTTATATCAAAGTTACTG